AGGCAACTCCGCTGGTGGCATTCAAAGAATTTATGTACTTGGACTTCATTGTGTGAACATAAACACAAGCAGGACTAGAGATGAGCATCAATATGAAGCTGCTGCTGGGAGAGAAACTGTCTCTCCTGAGATGCAGTTTATCTACTGCTAGAGTGGACATCAAGGGTAGATCTAACAAACTGATATCCGGAAGAACGTAGTTCCCTGTGCTGATGCGATAGAGTCTGCTGACCCACCTTGATAGAGATGTCTCACTATGATGAGGAAAGGCTAGGAGACATCTTCCAGTGGCCAAGCCAGTCCCTGGTATGGCAGGGTAAGTCCTTCTCAGAAAAGGTTGGTAGAGGATCCCCAGACAGTCATGGGATGAGGTGTTTCATTCAGTGATCCTCCAGGGTCTCTCCACATTTTTCATCAGGATCTTACATGTAGAAGTCAGAAGAGAACAACAGTGGGAGTTCAGCATGAGGCTGACCGTGGAGTTCATCCTCAGCCTTCACTCCACTTCCTACAATATGGATTTTACCCTGGCCACCTATTGCACCCCCAACTTCTTTGGGAAGCTCTAGACGATAGGAAAAGGATTCATCTGCCTTGGCTTTAGCCATGTAAAAAATGAACTCTGTGCTTTGAACTGGGCAAGCAGCTCCCGCTATAGTCAGTGTAGAGAGGTGGGGAGCATCTCCCACTGTCCCATCTCCAGGGCTCTCATCTCAGAGATATAGAGCAGGAGTCATGGGGTCCAGCTACTTTAGTGCACATCTCTACTCCAACGCCTGTAGCTTGGTGGGAGGAGTCGGCATCTGCACCTACCAAAACCAGGGTCTGAAAATGCAGCCCACAGAAATTGTAGTCACTTTCCCTCCATTTGAACCCAAACTGTTTCCAAAAAGCAATGTCAAAATCTTGTACCTTTGGGTGTGCAAACTGGAGCAGTTAGGTAAATTGGGAGCAATCTTTTGCATAGGCCAATAATCTTTCAAAACAAATAAAAAATTCTCCCAGGATCACCAAAGATATAGGGCTGGAAAAGCATGGTGGAGGCAGCCAATCCCTTTTTTAACCAAAACCCTATGTTCTAATGAATGTGATCCCTCCATGTGCCAAATTCTGCCCCTGCACAATCAGTTGACGCTGGCAGCCTCAGCAAAAGTGCATTCACAACACGTATCATTTGTCATCTTTTCATCAAGAAGTGTGTAAATCCTTTCCTCAAAGTGCAGAGCTGCTTTATAGTAAGTCCATAAAGCCCTGTAGAGTCTCTCTTCCAACAGGATTACATTAGTGCCAATAATCTGGCAAATATCAGGAGTGAATTTAATCAAGAGAACTAACACCAGTGATTTATAACTGCTCATGACAGAATGGAACGAACAGAGGTTTGCAGGACCCAGACATGGAATTTCACTTGCAACATCATTTGGAGCAGAGGGAAAGCAAAAGAAATGGGAAATAAGGTTTCAGTGTTTTGAGAGCTGTTTGTGCTCTCACAGAATATCAGTGAGAAAGAACAATCCATCTTTGTTCCAAGTTCTAAATGATGAGCACTCAACATTTCACGTCAGGGTTTTGGTTGCTAAAAGTCAAAAATAATGTCAGGGAGATAGATTGCCAGGAGAGCCCCCATACCTAAATGATGTCCCTAGGAAGCAGGTTTCCAAGTGCAGCTGGCAGAGGGAAGGTCCATCCTATTTCTGAGCTGTCTGGAAGGAGGACGCAGAGGCCCCACGGCAGAAGACTAGACCTATCGTCCAACTCAAGCACATCCATGCAAGGTTGAGCCGAGATCACTTGTGCAGTCTGACATCAAAACTCTTGGGTAACCCAAGCTCTTACTTGAGTAACTGGTGTCTCTCACTTTGGCTGACCACTACTTGCAGCAGTCATAGCGCTACTTTAGCTCAGAGCTCTGTCTTGGTAGGCTCTGGCACACTCCCGACATTGCCACTTTGTGCAGTATCCCTGCTGCATCTCTCCTCAGTTCTTTTGCATGTGGTTTGCAGACTTCATGCCATGCTCTGCCTGTTGCATGGCTCTGGGACATGGCATCTCTGATTACTGATGAATTTTCTTTTTGCTTCCAGAAAAGAACTGGAAGCAAACATTCAAGTGAGCAACATGGCATAACTGCAGTACTGTATGGTTAACTACTATCATATTAGAAGTCACCTTTAAAGCCCAGCTTCTTATGAGCCTACAAATGCTGCTAAGACAACTTCAGTTCATTAAAATAGCATAAAAATGAGGTGCATTTCATTGTAAGTTTACTACTAAAAAAACCCCATCACTCTAGGAAGCACAGCACTGCCTAGCTTTGCCTTCTGCTCACCATGTATTGCACTGTCTCAACCTCACAACCTAGTCCTTCAATATGTGCAAAAGTTTGCAGCATGTGCTTTTTTTCTTCAGAGTAAAAGACACAGTCAACATGCAAACTTTTTAACACTGATAACTGGGAAAAAAAAGTAAGAAGCTACCAAAACAAGGCATTCAAGCCGTCACTTAGAATTACACAACTCATGCCACTATCGTTCTCTATTATGAGACATTACATGCACCATGAATTAAGATATGTAACCTAATCTATAGAATGGAGTGAAAGATAAGAAACATGAGGAAGAGGAAAAATGGTTTAGCTGAATGAATGTGTCTGTTAGGTTGAATTAATGAAGTTGAATTAATTCAAAACATCTTAAGCAGATCTTTCATAGAACATTTGTTTTAAGTTCACTCTAGCTAACATATGCTTGTGAGGATGGATAAATTTGCTGCACAATTCCTTGACAATTCTCTATCAATTCATCAAATGCATTTTGTTTAAAAGCATTATGTGTAAAACGTGAACGGAGCAATGTAATGGTTGAAAGAATCTAGTCTGACAGAGAAAACACAATCTGCTGTGTGAGATGAGATGTAAAGCAGTTGTAAGGAAGAGAGATGGCAGATGCTATCGGACAGTTAATTTCTTAATTCTAAACACATTCAGTCAACATGAGATGCTGGGAGAGCTTTGCCCATGGACAGATGGCTTGGTGAGATGTTAAATTAATATTGTTATCAATTGAGAATGGCTGAAGTTATTAGGTGATGATTCTTCCTAAATGCCTGTTTTTACAATTATTTCAGAACAGTCCCTGAATCAGTGAAGGGAAACAGAGAAAAAAAAAAAAAGAATCTCCTAAAGCATAACCAGACCTCAGGAAAACTATTTTTCAAAGGCAGATCCTTTGCTGTAGGAAACCTCATTTCATCTGTGTCTGTACAGGACACTGGATTACGCCGACAATAAACTACTCCAAATTCCATGAAATTGTGCTAAGACCCCAAGAGTCGGGCAGCTGCTCATTTACTAAGCATATTCATTGCACACCTTGGTGTTTATTAGATCCAACAGCTGCATTTATAAATCATGGGGGGGGTTAAAGAAGAATTTAAATTTGTCGATCTCAAGTTTCATTAGAAGGAGTCATTTAAGAAGGCAATGGGAGATCTGGAGAGCTATTGCAAGAGCAGTTAATAGAGCGATTCAGCAAATGGGAAAGGTAGCTCTGAAGGAGCCTCTGGGATCCCCTCTCTGTTGGCTCTCCAGCCTCTCTACACTCCTCAAATTTCAATTTTCTCTCCCACTATGGGCTCTGCTCATGTTCCACCAGTGTGCATCTCCACCAAGCTGCAAACGTCACGATAGCTGGGTTGCAAGCAGCTCCTTGAAATCATTTTTACAAGGTGAAAAAAGTGGGGAGCAGGACTAAATAAGTAAATTATTTTTCTTTTTTTTTTTTCTTTTTTTTTTTTCTCTTTGGCAAAGAGGTTCTGTTTTCAGTGGAAAAAACACGAAGAAGCATTTTTATTAAAAAAAAAAGAAATGCAAACACTGAAAACCTAGAGCTTCCCAGCCAAGAATATCCAGCTCAGGCCAAAAAGCTTTCCTTCCCTTGTGGAATGGAGCATTTAAACAGAAGACAGATGAAGCTTTCCGCGTGAATCTCTGGTATCTCCTCAGCTGAGGTTTGAACCTGTGTTTGATTTATTTTGCCACCTCCAGCAGACTGAGGAAACATTTTAAAAAAAAAAAAAAAGTTCATTTTTACGAGTTACTCTTACATAAAACAAAGTAGTGAGAGGAAAACACACAGAGAGCTGGCTGTGCCGTGGGTGCTCATGGCTGCCCCGCGGGTGCAAGGCTGCAAGGGGACGGGATCGCTTCCCTTCTGGCTCCCGGCCCCGCGTTCGTTCGGAGAAGCTGGCGGGTGTGTGGGTGGGCTGGCCGCTGTTTTTGCCTCCCGACAGAGCGAGATGCCCGTGGGGCTTTGGCAGAGGCCAGCGCTGCTTCTGCAGGGGCCCGGCCGTGCTGGGGTGCCCACCAGGGAAAACCGGGTGGAAAGCGAGTGGCTCCGCTGCTGCGTGGGATGCTCCCGGGATGCTCCCCTTGGCATCGTTGTTCCTCTAACCCGTTGTCTGCTCTCCCTTCTGCACCAGCTGCTCATGCGGGCTCCGAATGCCCCCCAGTACCACAGGCTCATGGCAGTTCTGACAAGCCAGGGAGTTGTGGGTGAAACTTGTAGTTCCTGCTTTGAGATGCTAACCCTGTAGCTGGGATCTACCCATGTACACTTTTATGTTTGTGCTGGCCATGATAAAGCGGCATCGGAGCAGAGGTGTGCAAAAAACAGAAGTTAAATAATAATATGGTTATACATAATAAAAATATATATGGATATATATAAGCTATAAATGAGAAAATGACCCTTTAAAGACTGAAAATATTCTGGAATTCATCCTCAGCAGTGAGAATTTTTAAAAAATCTTCATGACCCTCTTCTTGCAAGGGGGCTGGGGAGATCAGGGGATGACAAATAACAGAAAAAGAAAAGCCATTCTGAAGTTTGGTTTGGGGAGAAGAAGGAGTAGCACGAGGTTTGTCATTGAAATAGCTGTGGCAACAGGAGGAGGAGGAATCAGAGAATCAGGATGTATGTGTGGTCCCATCCCTCCCATACCTTTGCAGGCTTTTCTGTGGGAGATGGGCTTGGTCAGGTCACGGTAGAAGCCCTCCTTGCAATAGTGGCAGTGCCGGCCCGCCGTGTTGTGCCGGCAGTTGAGGCAGACACCTCCGCTCTTGCGCCCCGACAGCTTGTAGAGTTCCATGTTAAAGCGACATCTCCGGGCATGAAGGTTGCAGTTGCAGGCTGTGGAGAGAAGAGCAGGAACGGTCACCAGTGGCATCCTGAGAGGACCATGGAGGCATCTACCCCATGGAGTCTGCACACTAAACTTTGAGTCCTGCTTTAGGACCACATATCTGTGATGGAAACATGAGGATGTCCAAGGAGGGGATGCCACGATGCCATTGCCAGCTAAGGGAAACCCTCTGCTAACCCAAACCTCCTCAGAGAAGTCAGCATTGTGGTGGCAATCCTGGATTTTTGGAGAAGTAGTGTGGGATCTGAAAGCACTGAGACTCTGCAGGGTTTCGCCACAGTGACTTAGAGCAGGAAACACATCTTTTGCCTCTCCCCACTTTGAGTCACTTTGTTAGTGACTCAAAAGCTGGGTCCCCATGGAGAGCTAACCTCAGAGCCATTTCCTGGTGGCTGTGGAAAACCCCCTTGGCCCCACCAATTTTATCACAGACTCTCTGCACCATTAGGGAAACAAAAGTTTCTCCCTTGAGCTGTTAGAAGGACAAGTTTCCAAGCACCACTGGTGCATTTTTCCCAACGCTTGCCTTTCCATGCAGTCCCAGTACCTATGGGTATTTAAACTCCGTGTATTGGTTCAAAGCCTTCTGAGCTTGTTTCTGCCGTTGTATTTCTTTCTTGCTTTGGTACCTGCAGCATGAGGTTCTATCAAATTTCTGTGGCCTGGGATGTGCAAATAAAACTTGGTCCACATGCATCAGCATCTCTTATCTTGTTTCTGGGACACTCACTTAGTCAAATACCAAGAAATTCCCTTCTGCTTTGACAGAATCTGCTGTGATTGAACCTGATGGGAGATACCCAATTTCTCCACCATATGCAGCCTAATGTCAACACAGGGACTATTTTAACAAGGGGCCGTTGCAAAGGAAGACTTAAGGACTTCAAAAGCTCAACCCCAGAGCTGTCAAGGGAACATCAAGAGGCAGTTGCTGGGGCTATGTGCTTTGCAGAGAATTTTATAGTTTGTTTTCCTTTCCCCTTGCTTTTGTTTGCTCTTCACCCCTGAACAATACATCTGTGCAATGCCAACCCACAGCTGGGCCTCTTGGCGCTGCACGAAGGTGTCACCGCTCTGGGCTTGTCACCTTCCTTTAGAGTAGAAACATCTTAATCCCTCATTCCTTCCTGTTTACCTTATGGTGCTTACCCAAGACAAAGACGTGCTGTATTTGCTTAATTATCAAATTTCAGCCCAGAAAATCAAAGTGCAGTTCCGGGTTATTTATTGGGAACAATCCTCGAATAACTCTTGACATGCAACCAGAGGGTAGATAGAGAGCAAAACTCTCTGATTGCCTCCAAACTCTGGGGTGGGAAATGCTCTCTCTACTCTTCCTCTTGCAATTTGATTTTTCTAGCTAATGCAGTGCAACATGGCATCATCTCCTCACCAGATCCAAATGTTCCCAAAGCAGGAGATGCAACGACCAACTTGCTGCTAGTGAGAAGAGCAGCCCCAAAGAGGTTTGTCGTCCATGAGTAAGTGAGATTCCCGACACCAGTCAGAGACAACGCTTTCATCTAAGGACACCTGAATGGGACAAGACAATCAAGAACAGAGAGCCAGCTCCTGTCCACAGAGGGAATTGCTGTTTTTTATGGCTGGCCTGTCCCAGGGACACATTTGCTGACACTGCAAGTGCAGTTAAACAGGCTGTTGACATCTAAAAGAAATGAGGGGGCACGCACCCAGTGCTTTCTGCATTCCCCTTTGTAGATTTTTCCCCTTCCATCTTAATCTCAGGAAGAGTTTTCTGAGCTTTTGCTAGGAGCATGCTAGCAGCTACTCAGCTATGGTATTTTCCTTTTCTTGTGGCGTGCTGAGTAGTCCCTGCCAGCACCACAGTTCTGTGGCACTACTGTGCAAGTAGAGGATTAGAAGTGATTCTTGCCCTGCACAGCTTATGATCTAAGCCTGCAGAAAGGAGGTGGTGACGCATTTAAAGTACCATTTCTATTTTTACAAAAGGGAAACCAAGATACTCAGATTAAACCATTTTCTTGGATCATGCAGCAAAGATACAGCTGTAGTGAGAACTGAAGACTTATTTCAGGCTAGTGGCTTCACTGCAAGTTTTGTCCTGACGAGAGGAGGATGGTGGCTGTGATGTGGAGGCAACAGCCCAGAAATCCTCCCAGCTGTAGGTGGCTGACAAGACAACAACCTTTATCCTCAGAGGCACCAGCCTCAGGACTTGGCTTTGAAAAAGGAAGCAAAGAAGTTCCCCAATTGGAAGGTCTGTCATCCCAGATACAGGTTTCAAACCCTGCAGGCACATCTCCATTGTTCAAAGACTTGAGAGTCATTGAAAACTATATCTTAAGAACTACAAGCTACAGGAACTAGTCCCAGTTGACAAACATGAGGAGATATTTATTCACGGAGCTTCATGAACTCATGGAAGACTTGGTTCTTCCTTCTAGCTAGCAGACACACATTTTTCAATCAGCTTAGAAACTAATCTCATTCTAGAACATATAAAATGCTCTTCTTCCTGATGCTTTCTGTCAGCACCAGGGCACTTTGCTGGGCACCAGGCAGATGGAGATCCCCTCTTAATCCCAGGCACATGGATGCTTTTTAATCCTTCTTTTGAATACACATATTTGTGCAGAAAGCATGGGCCAAACTGGCTCAAGGAGACTAGATTTAATCAAAATTATTCTCTCCCATCCTATAGCTAAGTGTCTGAGCCCTGAATACTCAGGTTCTGTGTCCTGTCCGCCATCAGTCAACACTAACCGTCAGGTAAGTCTCTAACCGGATGTCCTTACGGGTGCCCAGTGGGAGAGGTTTGGTCTGACTGCCCCATCCAGGCATAGGAAAGATCCTTGCTGGGGACAAGGCTGTGACATGATAGGATCCATCACACTGGTACTACAGCTCAGAGAAGACAAGTGGTAGGAGCTCGGAGATGCTCGATGGAGGGAATGTCGGGTTCATCAGAGCTGGGTTTCACAGATCCAGCAGCACAGTGATACCTGCTGTTACCCCTAGGTCCCACATCTGACTGTAAGAGGTACTCATGCATGGAGGACTCTCCTTGTGCTCTGCCCTAGCATGTTTTGTGGAGCTGCACCAAGCCTGGGCATGAGGCACTCAGGAAATGAGGCTACCATTCCGCCTTTCCCCTAGTCCAATGGTTAATCACCCACTGTGCTAAAGCATTTTGCCTTGTTTCTAACATGAATTGGCCTGGCTTTAATTTCCAGACACTGCTTCATGTTTTGAATTTCCCCACTATCCTAAGTGGCTCTTCAGTAACCCATCCTTTCTTTCTACAAACGAGTCTTTGGTGGCTGTAATAGAATCACATCCCAGCATCAACATCCCCAATGCTCCTCAGGCTGTTCTTTTCACCCAGCACAGAAGATGCATCTGCATGATCTGCAGACACGGAGCAGAGCTGGCTGGGAGCAGACCACTTGCCAGGTGCTGGGAAATCTCTGATGAAATGTTTTGGCTCCGACTGCTTTGCACTGAGCTCAGTGCTGCTGTCTCCTGCTCCTTTTGTTCTCTTATTTTGCCAAGGACTTCATTAGCCTTTGTATGCTGATTTTATTGTGCACAGATGTACATACCTTCATCAAACAGTCCCTACCTGGACTGCTAGGCTCTGATATGAACAACCAGATATCAGTTAAATGCAGATGTTTAGAAGCATAGAGAAGGCTAGATCTGAAAAGAGGAGAGCTGTGGTATGGAGCCTGTCAAAGAAACATCAGCAGCAATATCTCTTCATTAAAAAATGGTTTTGATCTTGGTCAAATTAATTCATAGAAGAAGATCAACACAGGTAGGGTTTTCCATGTGCAAGAATGAAAGGAGATATCTGACACAGAGGAGCCGGCTGGAGATGTGTGATGGAAGCTGCAGTCACGGTCTTTTTTGCTGCCACGATGTCCCCCAGGCCCCGCATCCATGGCCCTGCATCTCCCAGGACACATTCCTCTCTGCGGTTTTCATTCAGCAATGACAATGCTTCGAGCCTGCCCTTTCAAAAGATCCTACTCTTTCAAAAGACCCCACCCTCTCAAAACTTATATGTTGGCAATTTTTGAAATTAAAATCACTTTTTTTTGAAAACAAGCAAAAACCTCAGCACATTTTGTTTTAATTTTTATGAACAATAATTTAGGGAAAAAGGGAAGGAAATGGTAGAGAGAGGATAGAGGAAGCCCGGGGGCGGAAAGTAATCTCATCTCTAAGTTTGACTTGAATTTATGAGTAGAATCAGTCTCCTTAAAAGTATTCTCTTCCAGATATCTTTTTTTCTTTTTTTTAATAAATAATTAAAAAAAACACTAGTTCAGCCTCAGGCATGATTACTTTCCTGCAGGAGCAAGCTTTGCATGTCTTGTCTTTGTGTCCCTGACAGCCTGGTGCAGATAGGGACTTACCACCCAGTTGGCTGCTGAAACCCACTTCTGCCAGGAGCCTCTTTCCTAACTCAGAGCAGCACAGGAGGAAGGTCCATGGAGTCCCTAGTCCCAAAAATACCCCTGGATTTTCTTTTTACCTTTTGAAGGGCTTTTTTTTTCCAGCCTCGAAATAAAGTGAGGTGTGCAATGGAGGTGGAGGAGCCAGGCCCTGCACAGACCCGTCTGCTCACTAAAATGAGGAGATAAAGGGAAAGCCCCTATAGACAGGTCAGGGTGATTCCCGTGATCCCCTAAAGCATTGCGTCCTTTCAGGCCCAGTGTCGTTTGGTTGGTTTGTTGGAAGATTTGGTAGCTGCCAGGCATGAAATCAGAGCAGAACCATGGTGTCTCACAAATATGCTCACCTCTGAGCTGGAGAGTGGGATTTATATTCATGTCTATTGCAGCAAAACAGAAGGGCATGGATGAACACAGGCCACGGTAGGAGTGAAGTACTCCATGATACTGCCAGTGCATGGTCACTGGAGCCGTCAGAGTCATCAGCATTGGAACTGCACATCACCCTTGCAGCTGAGTGACTGAATCCATCCCTGCTTGCAGGG